TTATTACCAGGTGGAATTCAAAAATTGTTTAATTAAAGAGAAGGGAGATATAATTTAAGGGGTCAGTTAAATTTAAAAATTCATGCCATAAGTACAACTAAAAAAAAAGATTTTGTATTTCTATGAGTCATGTAAAATTGTGGAATAAGCCAAGGGAGGACTTAAAATATTGTACTAGCATAGAACAGTTTAAATATAAATACAAAAGGGTTTGTAATGCAAGATATATGAATGAGGAGGCGTGATGGCAGATTAGACTGGAGTATTGTTGGTGTGGTGTATGAAGATTATCTACTGTGGTGTATTTTATGTATAGACACTGAATATAAACTTGTGATTTGAATGGTGATGTTAAAGGGAATTTAGTTTTGTATTGAGAAACTTAGCAATGTGCTTTTGGAACAGTCAGTATAGGAAGTATTGCGTGTAGGATGAAGAGTATGATGAAGTGAGGGTATTATAATGGGATGAGATAGACCGTTGGGTAGTTGGATTGACGCCGGACATTGGGTGCATGGCGTGGCTGGTCTATGTTTAATTTAAGGGGCTGGTTGGTGAGGAAATTGGTTTGTTTGGTATGTACAATGGATAGGGCGGTGATAGGATGGATATATGGTGGTTGTTGGGGACTGGCACTGTGGGTCTGAGTGGCCGGTGTTGGGCTAATGGTACCACGGTCTAAGAAAGGGGGTAGGACTAGATAAGTGTATACTTCTTCCTACTCCCTTTCAAGCATGTACTATTGGAATGTTGTGATGTCTTATGTGTATTGGTTGAAATGTCGAATCTATTTTGTTTTTCGCAGTATCAATTTTCTTAGTTTTACATGCTTGGAAGAAACTTAAAAAAAAATTAAACATTATCCATGTGCTCATTATTTGGACTGTATGGAGATAAATTAAGCTTGACTTGTTAAAAAAACGACCTGTCATTTTGATATTTCACAGCTGATGTGTTATTTGATGGGTACCTCCTCCTGTGCAGATCACAGATACAACTAATAGCCATAGTATCCTTTTTTTTTTAATAAAGTCCAGTTATTATTGGGAGTCATCATCAAACATTTCTGAGCTACAACCCCGTGTACTGGCATTTTTTCTATAATTCTTTGTTTATAAGCAAGACAAAAATTGAGTTTTTCTGTTTACGAATTCACTCCCAGCAGCAGCAGTGGTTCAGTCCAGCGAAGTCCCACCCCTTTGCCTCATTAGCCAATCAATAAGCTGAGAGAAACCATCACTTCCTGTCCTTCATACAGACACATGTGTGCTAGTCGTTAACTTAGTCCATGACATGAAAAGTGGCAATAACCGCCACCGAAGATGGTCCACCTCAGTAGAATCTGTTTCCGGAAGGTAAGTGCTGTAGCAGATTAAAGATTAATCTCACGAAAGCAATTTAGTCAACAGTAACAGCTTAGAAATGTTTGAAATAGTAACATTAGCTGTGTGCTAGCTACTGACAAAACATCAATATGGACCAACTCGGGCTGTCATCTCTACTGGTATTTGCACTTTCTCAGCAATAGCTTGGTTTAGCTGTGTTTTCGCAGCTTTTAAAAATACCTAATGTGTAAAACGCTCAGTCTTGAATTCATAAATATGACAAAGCAGTCCCAAATTCAAGGTCCACTTATTGTCTTTTTCAGAGCTGTCATGGACGCGGATCTGTTGACATGCAAGTTATAGGTTTTTGTAAAAAAAATGTAGTGGTTATGACGCTTGCATGGAATTAATACTATTTTTATATTAAATACAATGTTGGCATTAAACCTAGGTGAGCAACTATAGCTATAATATTGGACGCATGAGTTCCTGTCCCTGTTGCAGTTGGACTCACCAGCAGCGGTGTAAGCAGTAGTACACAGATTGTTTACTTAAGTAAAAGTAGCAACACCACAGTGTAGAAATACTCAGTTACAAGTAAAAGTACATTTAAAATGTTACTTAATTGAAGTACAAAAGTATTAGCATAAACATGTACTTAAAATACCAAAAGTAAAACTGCCAATTAACATTAATGTATATAATATTATTGGATTATAATTATTGTGTACATCATATTTGATGTTGCAGCTGCTAAAAGTAGAGCTAATTTTAACTTGTATGCTTATAATATGGAGTACTGCTGGGTAGCTTATGAATTTAACACCGAGGATCAATAAGGTCTTGTGATTATACTGTATTTAGTTTTATTAATCTGATTCTGAAAAGTAACTAAAGTTATCAATTACATGTAGTGAGTACAAAGTGCAATACTTTTCTGAAATGTAGTTAAGTCAAAGTATGCAGGAACAGAAAATGAAAAACTCAAAAGTGCAGATGTACCTCAAGTACTGTACTTGAGTACAGTATTTGAGTAAATGTACTTAGTTACTTTCCACCACTGTTCACCAGTATATCTTTTGTTAGTCGTGTTGTCTCAGAGTATTAAAATAAAGCATTTGAATCTCATTGCGTCATTCTTCTGCTTCTCTGCAGTATGGGAACTTTGTGGACAACCTCCGTCTGTATGTCCGTGGAGGGAGCGGCGGCATGGGTTTACCCCGTCTTGGGGGACAGGGAGGGAATGGTGGAAATGTTTGGGTGGTGGCCACAAAAAATATGACCTTGAAGAAGATTAAGGACACATACCCTCAAAAACGTTTTGTAGGTGAATCAGGAGCCAACAGCAGGTTTGTTTCTACAAATACAACCTTGATTTTCCTTTCAAGTTCCAAGTCAGATATTAAGCTGACATCAAGTGAGGATTCATGTTTTGTCAGACATCCTCAAACAAGCTGCATAACAGATGCTGACACCTGTCAATCAGAGCTATTTCCTGTAGTTTGATTTTTTAAATTTTTTTTTTATTGACAGTGTCCGAGCACTGAAAGGAGAGAAAGGGAAGAACACGGAGATAAGTGCTCCTGTTGGTATCACTGTCACCACTGATGAAGGCAGAATACTAGGTACGTCAAATGTCTTTGGCAATACTTCCTCCAATTTTGTACCATGTATGGTCACCGAAGACCTGATGTTGCTTTACCATCAAGGATTTATAAATGTTTAGTTAGTGTATAAAAAAAACAAAGATTCAATGCAGTGGATCCCTGAGAGCAAGCTGGTGAACTACATCAGTCAAAAAATATTAAAATAGAGTGGCATGGAAAGGAATTACAACAATGACTATGGGAGCTCAAGGGCCAAGTAAAGGGTTTGACAGTCACACTGGCCAATGATTTTAAGCCAGTTTTAGCCAGATTTCTGCTTTAACACGATTGGTATAGCCAATTTAGCAGAAAGGCTTAGTTGTGATTTTTATTTTAGTGTAGTGTATTTTAGTATATGATGGATTTTTAGCAAGACAAGTGAAAACAGATGAGCAGTTAGTTGTCAGATGTGCTTGTCACCAGTATGGGCTCCCCCATAGGATCTCTGTATTGTATAATTAAGGTGAACAGTGCTGTGTAGTGTGTGATCTTGTACTCATTATGTTTGGATTATTTTAATTTGTCTGCTAATTGAGCCAATTTTTGACTGTGTTCTGTGTATGTCCATTGTGCATGTATGTGTCTGTCTGCAAAAGTGAATCCTCATTAGTCTCAGTACAAATATGATGCAGCACATGCTGTTGTTCATATATTTTCTTTTTTTTTGTGTCACACATTATCTGTGTCCACAAAAGCTCAACGGAAAGGTTTCAGTTAAAGAATATGCAAATAATGGATGCAACTTAAAAACATTATTCTGTATGTGCCATAAAGCGTATGGTTGGAGTAATCAAATGGAAGTGGAATAGGCAATGTTGTAGTAAAGCCCTAATAGTTTTATTTTTTTTTTTGTTTTGTTTTTTTTTTACAATTCTCGCTCCCAGGTGACCTGAATGCTGAGGGCGATCGAGTAATGGTGGCAAAAGGAGGATGCGGAGGCTCCTTCTACTCTGCGTTTGAGCCCAGTAAGGGCCAGGCCAGACACATCCGGCTGGACCTCAAGCTCATTGCTGACATGGGCCTGGTGGGGTGAGTGCAGGAACATACGTGAACATACAGTATTGGTGCATTTTAGCTGAGGCATGATTTAACAGATTTCTGTAACTAATAATTTTTTTTATATTGAATCTCCATCAGTTTCCCAAATGCAGGGAAGTCCTCTCTCCTGACAGCCTTATCTAATGCCACACCTCAGATTGCCAGCTATGCTTGTAAGTACATTTGTACTATACACACTTAACTCTGGTACAATAGTTTTATTTACAGTTGCCTCTCTAAAATCTTTATTTCACAGTTACAACTTTGAGGCCGGAGATTGGCAAAGTGATGTATAAAGATTACAAGCAGGTATAGGAAGGTAGTACTAAATGTGTTGTCTTTAAATGTTGATATTATGGATTATTGTACATCTTCCTGGTTTTTGTCTGATGGTTCCCCCATTTTGAGTAGTGCTCTTCTTGGTGGTAGATCTCCATTGCTGACCTCCCAGGCTTGATCGAGGGAGCTCACATAAACAAAGGCATGGGCCACAAGTTCCTAAAGCATGTGGAGAGGACCAAGCAGCTGCTGTTTGTGGTGAGCAGCAACAAGAAGTGCATAAGCTAACATCGACATATGTTGAATTTTAATATGGTTAATCAGAAAAAAAAAAACAGTCTGTGATGATGATGGAGTCTTGTGTGTGTTTTGCCTGGCTGTAGGTAGATGTCTGCGGTTTCCAGTTGGCTAGTAAAACACCATTTAGGTCAGCCTTTCAAGCTGTGCAGCTTCTCACCAAGGTGAGACTGGTAATATAAAGGAATGTTTCTGCTCTCTCGACTTGTTCTCGCCATTCTTCTTGTTGACATCAATCCAGACACATCTGCCTCATGTGTACCATTTATTTACCCCCTCCTCTCTCCTCACTGCCTCAAGGAGCTGGAGTTGTACAAAGAGGAGCTTGTGTCGAAGCCTGCTCTACTGGTGGTGAACAAGATGGACCTGCCTGGAGCTGAAGCCAAACTAGAGGAGCTGAAGGAGCAACTAAACAACCCAGATGGTAAATATATTGAAGTTGTACTACACTACTATACTTGATATTTTGCCACACAATTCTGTATTTAAGCAAAAGCTTTCTCCACCTGTACGGTTTCTGTTTGTACTGCGATTAGTGGTACTAAGATGAAAGGCATCTGTGAATTATTCGGTAGTGAAGAATGTAAAAGCAGAATTTATAAGTTACTATTACAAACATTTTAGTCTGTTAAAAATGAGTCACCATTATGTTGAATGCAGCCTCTGTAAAGAGCTGCACTTCCATCCGGAAACAGTCTGAAATTCCCCAGATGTTTATGCCTCATGTTTTTCCACACATAGACAAAAACTAATAATGTTTGGCACATCAGTAATTAATAAGGAAAAAACCCCACCTCATGACGTTTTGCTTCCTGTTTGGCAGTCTAAACCTAGTGTCAAATCACACTGTATGTGCATGCTCACTGCTTTAAAGAGAAAACTTCAGCTACCGTTTGATTAAATGGAATATGTGGAAAGTGTAGACAAACTAAAGCACATTCTTGAAACATATGATTTATGAGAAACCTCCTTATAATACCCAACTGTATTGGGAAGAAAATGATTAAATTCTAATCTCTGTCCCATCTAGATATATTAAACTGACATTTTCACTTTAATGTTAAAAATCGAAATTCTACAATTGTTTTTATGGGAGGTTAATTTTGTAGCTGGCTGTCAGTTTGACGTGTGAGTGACACGGTCGTGTTGGAGTCAGAAGGCAGTTATCCCAATTTAGGTGAAGACAGCACAAGGAGTTAAAACAGTGTTAAGAAGAAAAAGGATTTACAGACATAGGTGAATAACTAAAAAGGTACAGTAGTAAACAACCACAGAAAGAATCACAACCATCTGTGTTGCCTCTAACATGATAACAGGACAGGAATAAATACTAGTGTTTTTTAATTTCACCCCTACAGAGTTCTCTGATCTACTCCCTGAAGGCATGATACCAACAAGCTTCATGACCTTCAGACATGTGGTTCCTGTCTCTGCTACCACTGGGTTTGGCATCGACCACTTGAAAAGTTGCATCCAAGAGTCGCTTGATGAAGACGCAGCCATGGCAACAATGGCCATGCATCAAGAAAGACTGCAGGCACTGAGGTACAACTCCCAACAACAGAAGAGCATTTGTGATTAAAAATGGACATCTCAGCTTTCAGTGGGACCTCCAGTCTTCAAAGGCAAGGCTCATTCTGCCAAAAAAAGGTTCACACTAGTGAACTAGAACTTTTAGCACTGTGCCGGCGTATCTTACCCACCTGCGACAACAAACTGTACGATTTCAGTGCAAATGTAGTTGGGAAGTAATGGAGGCTCCACAAGTTGAAGCTTAGTCACTGGTTCGGTCAGAGATCTTCAAAGCCTCACTTGCTGTCAACATCTTTATTTATTCTTTATGCTAAGATGATGTTCTAAAAAGAGACTGTTAAAAGCCATTTGAGCACCAAATTGATTTGTATGCCTATATTCATAAGATGTTTTTTTTTTTTGCACCCTTGAAGACGTGCAGTGTGTTGTAGGTATGCAGTAATTCATCTTTTTTCTCCCGATACAGATTCTGATAGCTTAACGGGGGAATTGCATCCAAAACCAGGTTGAAGTCAGCATATGTTACCATATAAGAACTTTTGGGGTCATTTTTTTTTGCAAGGAAACATGAGGCAGTCTGCAGCATCAGTGAATCATAGTGCAAGCAAATAATTTTATGACGGTGACAATCTATATATTGGTTGGTGATCTTGAAATTCTCTTTTCATGCAGACGTGTTACTGTTCTGTTTTACAGCTAAAGCTAGCAAGCTATGGCAGACAAGGTATCCACAGCAGCTTTTGCTCACAAACGGAGACCGTTGTTACAGGCCAGGCCCTCCCCATTAAAACAGAGTCTTATAGGTGTTCTTGCCGTTAGTGGCGACCTGCATCAGTGTGCACAGTTAATTCAACTTGCCTCAAAATCATCAGGTTTTAACAAGTTCTTTAGAATCAAAGTAATTCAGTGATAGTTGTCAGTACATCCAATAGTACATAGCAAAAGTGAACCGTTAACAGTTAATTCAGTGTACAAGTGTAAACAAATACAGGCTATAAACAGGCCTCAAATTTGCTGCCTACAGTGTAACTCGCTACATGTAGTGAGCAGGTGGAAAGCTTCATAACCTGCTTGAGAAACACGGGGTTTCCAGCAGGAGACTTGGTAGCAAAATGAACCGCTAATACCTGATTCTGCGTACCAAGTGTAAACATGTTTCTTTCTACTGTAGAGTAGGACATTTTAACATGGGGGTCTATGGAGATTGACTCCCTTTTGGATCCAGCCTCAAGTGGCCATTCCAGGAACTGCAGGTTTTTGCTGTTCTACACTGGCTTCATTTCTCAGCCTTGGATGTTGCTGCTTGGCAGTGACTAATGTGTAATGCTTCGTCATAGTCACAGGAGCCATAGATCAAGATCTTGTAATAGGCTAAAGTTGTTATTGCTATTTAAGAAGAGAGAAGCATTATAGGCTACCAGATTGAATTGTCTAGATCCTATAGGCTGCTAGATTATCTATATAAAGAATATGAACTTAAATGCCAATTTTAAAAAAGGTTTTTGTTATAGTATTTTCAGAAATATCACATTAAATGTTAAAAATTCTATCATGTTAACGGATCATACTTTTACTCATTGTACGGTGAGTATAATTTTGCCATAGATACAGAATGAGTTACTGTGGGCTGCCACTTGGGCACCATTTTAACCTATATTTGTGTACATTTTGGAACACTAAGAACATCGAATTACCTATTGTCAGTTCATTTTTCCTATGTGCTATTGTATGTACTGAGAGAATTATGTTAGTACTTCAGAAATCTTAAAAACCCCATGTTTCTCAATCAGGTTATTTGTACACTGAATTAACTGTTAACAGTTCACTTTTGCTCTGTACTATTGGATGTACTGACAACTATCACTGAATTACTTTGATACTAAAACCTGATGGTTTTCAGATGTGTTCTGCAGCATTCCAACCCCTGCTTTATTTCATAATTACAAGAAAATGACCTCATAGTTATGAGATTCTCAGATTTATTTCTTTGGTGAATACAGTGTGCTTCTGTAGGTCTGTATCCCAAGCTTCTTTTTATTTTTTACAATGTTGTAGTGTAAAACGACTAATAAATGGAGCCAGTTTTCTAGAAGTTAGAATAAAATCTGAAGTATAAGAAATGCCATGTGTTGAAAGTTTTATTTTATATTAAATATATTACAATACTGAATGATTAAGAAGGGGAAAAATATGAGGATTGATTTTTGCTTCATCAGTCTGTACAGCATACAGGCAAAAAAAAACAAAAAAAACCACAGCAACTGCAGTATTTCGATTTGACAAAATACCTGTGGGGTTTTTTTTTGTTTGTTTGTTTGTTTAGTTTTTTTTTAAGGTTCCTGGAGCAGATTCCCAATGTAATCTGGCAGGATGGGGCCGGATGGTTGAGACTAGGTGGTTGGTGTTCTCCTGTAATACATTCAAGTCTCTGGCCAGACAGACAGAGACAGCTCATCTGTGGGGCAGATAACTTTACAGGATGATTGACAGCTGTACAGTCACAGAAATCACTGCAGCCTGAGCATAGTGTCCTCAGAGTGTTATACAATTCAATATCCATGACACCCCCAAAGAACTGTCTCGCTGTAGCACAGCATCATGATGTTAAAAATAAGAGCTGTGAGATGATGCTCTCCACAGCCTCAGCCACTGGACAGTGTCCAATATCATGTGAAGACCTGAGCAATGAAGAGATCTCGAGTAGAGGGCAAATCTACCCAAGATCTCATTTACAACATCTGTGTCCAAACCTTAGAGATGCCAATTAGCACATGTCAGAGTAACATTCGAGGACATAAGAGTTTCCAAAAAAGTCTCCATTCAAACTCTTCATTATAATAATGCACTTACTGTAATTAGTTTGAACAGTTTCTGTACATAATGCTGAGAAAAAAGTGAACATTACAAAGGTACTTCATAAAAAAAATAATAGTATCAGTTCAGTATTGTGAAGTGTTACCTATACAGTCCAAATGAACAAGTGCCCACACCAGAACAAAACCTAAACAGTAAAATGGCAGAGGCCTTAAGTTGTAACTGTACACTGGACTTGACTGAGGGGCATTATTTGGGGTTTGTTTCCAAAGCAATCCATCTTAACTAGCTACAGTGGCAGAACACCAGTCAAAGCAGAAAAACATTTTTAAACTGTATGACTTCCTGTCATGACTTTGCTAAAGCAGTGTAGTTCTGTGGTACATAAAACCATCAAGACAACAGCAAGAGGCCGGGGGGGTCTTTCAATGTCATGCTCGTTTCCCGTAATGGTCTCACAAATGGCCCACCAGAGAAATAACTTGATAGAGAGCTGTCATGCTGTTGGTCTCCACAAGCTCAAACAGCAAGCACTGTACAGCACAGTTAATCATTTACAAGGCTAAATATCTCAGTCATCATAGCTAAATCCAAAACGCATGTTTCAATCAGTTTCCAGATTCTCAACGAGTTAGGTTGTCAGCCACACTCAAATATTTGACTTCATGCACTCTTAAAGCGCATAGTGTCAAATCTTCCAAATGTAAAGACAGGTCAAACTCAACGGGAAATTCCCCAAAACTGTATGAATGAAAAGTGGCACATCTACAACTACAAACGCATCTCAGAAAACTACTGAAATGTTGCTAAATTAATATAATCTAAGTAACATTCTCACTGTGCCACAATCAACATCTTTCCGAATACTTTCTCAATTCATGTCTGTGCATTTCTCCCAGAGATGGATGCAACTAGTACTAAGATAAAAACGCTTTTACATTCCGCTGTAGATGGAGAAAGCTCTCGAGGTCACAGTCGCACATGAATAAAGCCAGAGGGAGAAAAGATGAGGATGGAAAAAATAGATTCAGAGAAAAGCGAGGGCAGGGGTCTCATCACCTATCTACAGAGATAATCTTCTGTCTACAACACATCACAGTAGGAAGAAGAGCTTTTCCTCTTCTAAAATAAAAGCAAAAACTTAACTCCGTGTGTGTTGTCCTGTACATATTTACACATGCACACACAAACTGAGGGGAGGAAGAGGAGGGCGTGGTTGGGTCCATGTCATGGTTTATGGGCTTGATGATACAGTATGGGTTACCTATAGTGGGAAGAAAGCATCTATGCCTACAGAAGGTATAAAATCAATGCCCCCTCGCATGCTTTCTGTTCAGATCAGACTGCCATTCTTCTTTTCAGCAGG